CCCCAAAACCCCAAAACCCCAAAACCCCAACGTAATTTCAATTATTGAATTTGATTTTATAATGAACTTAGTCTTTGTTGATTCAGTAGATTTCCAAGTCTCTTTCTTTCCTTTTTATTGATCTTCACTTTAAGCCTGTAGTTTTTGGGATTGTCTTCCCATTTCTCCTTTAAAAGGTGCTCTCTACATGAAGTAAGACTAATTGTTTACAAATGCATTGTGACACTGGCTGAAGTGATATTAAGTTGAGCTCCTTTGCTAATCTTTTCAATCCTTCTATTTCTCCTCACCCATTTCGAACATCTATAAAAGCTGTGACTAAACCTAGGATTACTCTGCGTCTGTGGAGTCTCAGTCTCGCATTAACAAGCCCTTTATTTTGCCCAGAAGGAATCGTCAAAACTTCTGGTACTGGGTTAGAATCCCTATTTGAAAGCAGGCCAACTTCTATATGTTCTTAGTCAATAAATTATTTATCATACACATTTCAGAACAGTGAGTTAGTCAACAAAATACTCACGTTTGAAGTCTTTATTCCTGGTTGACTTAATTCCATTCACAGAGAGTCTTTTATTCCCGAATCTACCTGTCTTCACTGATGGAAGATTCTCAGGAATGCTGGAGTTCCTACATGAAAGTTAGCCATTTTGGTAGTTAAGATGCTGTATCTACCACAAAAATGTCACCAATACGTATGATATAACGAATATTGGTACAAAGCACGAGGGATTAGGACCTACTTTAGACTACTTCGGAGTTTATTCCTCTGAGGAGAATTACGTGTTGAATGCACTGTCTTAAACTCAAACTTCGTAGAACTCGAGTCATTCAGAGTTACATTATCTGTTTTAATAAGCTTAAGAATAGAAGAATGAGAATCTTCATTCCTGGCAGTATTCGAGATACTGTCTCTCTTTTTATTCTTCTAGAATGTCAGCTTGTTTTCTTACAAATCTGAAGAAATCGTCCTTGAGCTTATTGTATATCCAGAGTGCTAGTTTTCTGATATTGCCCCTATTTATGTTTTTCCATTTTCTCTCCCTTGAAATCAAGGAAGGCTTCAGTTGCCTGGACATAGGACATTTTTAAGGTTCCTTCTTGGTCTTCGAAGCCAAAGTCACTGGGTCTGTATAAGAATTTGTATTGCGAATTATAGTGAACATTACCTCATTGATTTCATTATATTAATGAATTGACTCCGATTTAGGTCATCTACAGAAACTCTATGGTGATAACATCCCTTCTCAAGAAACTTTATTAACTTAGATAACGTATTCTCTTCTATACCAGAATTATTGTGGAAATACTTTGCTTGATACTAAGTTTTCTCTGATGCTCAGACTTTTTCTTCATATTAGAGAAAGCTCTGAGAATGAGTGCTTTTCTTCTGCTACCTATTTTATTCATCTTCAATAATTTTTATAAAATACGGGGTTTTGGGGTTTTGGGGTTTTGGGG